GATGGAAACTTGAAAGCGCCCGAGTTCCCACCTGCTCAGGGCTGACATTCCTCTTCCCACTCATCAGTGTTTGTTCTGGCCTTGCGCCACCGCAGAGCTCAGAGGACGGGCTTGAACTCTGGTACCCACGTGGCTGGGCGCAGGGGCAGCAGGACCCAGAGGGATGCCAGGGCGGGCCTGGGGGCGGCTGCGGCTGGCTGGGGCGGGATGGAATTTCCCAAGAAGTTGTGAAAACAGCCTCTGAGCAATGCCTTGTCCTTCTTGCCCAAACCTTCAGATGGGACCACGGGGCAGGGGCGCGGGCCTGGAGGAGTGTGGAAAGGCGCCCACGGAATGGGTTGACTCGCGAGCACGTCGGGCGTGCAATGGGAACACGGAGAGGCTTGAAGCGACCGGGCAGAGGCTTGCGTTTGTGTCTGAGAGACTCCCATGGCAGCTGGGTGAAGGGGCACCGAAGGGCAAGACTCGAAAGCAGAGGAGCAGCCAGCAGATGGAGGCAGGCGAGTGCAGAGGAGAGGCGGTAGTGGCAGGGGTGAGAAGGGAAGGATGGAAGGGGCCATTGGCAGGACTGGGGGGCAAGCGCTGAGTGCCCTGGAGGACGAGGCATCGCGCACTGGGGGTGGGGCCTGGTGCGTTGGGGGTGGGGACAGCATGCCCCGGGGACAGGACATGAGCTGTGCTGTTTGCAACTGTTGGAGATCTTGGTCAAAAGGCCAGCGGGGGATCTCATATGTGCCCCACATTTAAAACAATACGATATTTTGAAAATGTAGTTCCGTAATGATGAAATTCAATACAGAGAAGTTTCCAACAGAGTACACGAGCGGGGCTGTGTGGGAGAGACAAGAGCTCCATGGCGTGGACTGGGGTCCAGAAACAGACACACACATCAGCCTCGCTCTGCCAACGGGGTGGGGCTGTGGGTCGAGCTGCGGGTGGAGCAGGGTGATCTCGCAACATTGGTGTTGGAAGGGCTGGATGTCCACAGGTGGGAAGTGATTCTAGAATGGACCTTCCACCCTTTCCAATAATGAAATCAAAGTTGGTCACAGACATAAATGGAAACTGCAAGACTATAAAACTCATAGACGACCCCACGGGAGAAAATCGAGATGACCTTGGCTTGGTGACCTTTTTGATACCAGAAGAATTGGTAATCTGACTTTATGAAAATCTGAAATCTTTCCTGGGCAAAAGACAATGTCAAGAGACTGAGAAGACAAGTCATGACTGGAAGAATATTTGCAAAAGGCATATTGGCAAAGGAGTGTGACCCAAGATAAACAGAGAACTCTTAAACCTTGACAATAAGAAAACACCCTGGCTGAAAAACGTGTGAAGACCTTGACAGACACCTCCCCCCAAAAGATATATGGACGGCAAATGAGCCTCTGGGAAGACGAGCTGATCGTAGATGACCAGGGAAATGCGCGTGGAAAGGGGAGTGAGGCGTGAGTGCCCGCCCACTGGAGTGCCCAGCCCCAGAACACAGACACCACCAAGTGCAGGCGAGGATGTGGGGTGCTGGGAACGCCCACTCATTGCTGGTGGGAGTGCACAGTGCTGCGTCTTTGGGAGGCAGTTTGGTTTCCAACACAGCCAGTGAGCGCGCTCCTGCGGGTGACCCGGGGGCAGCCGTGGCCTTCCTTGGTATTTCCTCAAAGGACTTGAAAACTTGGGCCGCAGGAAGACGGCACGCAGAGGTGTAGCGCTGTTTGGTCTGACACCCTCACATCTCAGAAGCAACGAAGATGCCCTTCAGCGTGCGTGGACACGAAAACTGTGTCATCCTGAGAGCAGCCACTCGGAGCCCAAGAGAAATGAGCTGCCTCGCCACAAAAAGACACGGAGGAAGCGGAACCGCACGTGACTCGGTGGACGAAGCCACATGACAAGGCCACTTACCATGCGCGGGGGCGCTGCACGACGTTCTGAAAAAGGCAAAACGCTGGGGACAGTGCAGGATCAGTGAGTGCTACAGGGGTGGGGGTGGGGGGCTGAGTAAGCGGAGCGCAGAGGATTTTCAGGGCAGTGAGTCTTCCCTGGAGGCTACTGGAATGGTGGGGTGCGCCATGACCCATTTGTCTACACCACGGAGGGGACACCGCTGAGGACGACCCTAACGAGCGCGGTGGCCCCTGAGTGCCGATGGTGTGGTGTAGGGTCCTCAGGGATAAAAAAGGAACATTCTGAAGATGGGGGTGTTGCTAACGGGGGCGGCTGTGCATGGGGGGACAGAGGTTCTGGGGGGAATCTCTGTACTTTCCATTTTGCTGCCAACCTACACTTGCTCAAAATAGTAAAGTCTCTTAAAAAATAGTACAACCCGAACCCACAAAACTTATAGAAGAAAATAGGAAGAAACCCCTGGACGTGATCTCTAAGCACAAGGCAAAACTGGGAAATCAGCACAGGCGAACACCTGGCCCCGAGGAGCAGCCCAGGAAGGAAACCCTCAGCAAGACGGACGCCGCCGTGGAACGGGAGCAGCAGCTGCAGGCCCCGCGTCTCACGTGGGCGCGGCAGCCAGAGGATAGGGGCCCCCGCGGCTCGAAAGCGGATGCCCAAATAATCCAGTTAGAAAATGGCTGAAGGACTCCGGCTGACATTTTTCTGAAGACGACACAGTGTTGGACGGGTCCGTGGAGGGGACGGCAGCTTTAGTCAGCGGGAGATGCAAATCAAAACCGAGGAGAGGAACACCTCCCACCTGTTAATGACTCTCCGCAAAGAGAGAAGCGCTAACAGGTGCAGCGAGGACGGGCCTCTCCTGCAGTGGACGCGGCCTCCGCGGGAAACAGTAAGGAGGTTCCTTAAACTGAAAAGGGGGGCGCCGAGCGACCTCGGCCCCGCTCCCGAACACGTCCCCAGGGGAGCCGCGTTAGGAAGAGAAACACTGTGGTCTCCCGCGTGCGGGAAATGGAAATAAACCCTTGTGACGGCCGGAGGACACGGAGCAGGATCTCCATGACCCGAGCAGACGCGTGAGTGAGGCGTCCTGGAGCCCTCAGTGGCTTTGCAGGCTTTTATTGGGATTTACCAGGCACACGGCAGGCAGGGGTGCTGGGGGGCCAGAGGCTGGCAGGCCTCCCAGCCCCCAGCAACTCTTCACTCTACCTGGGCTCTCCGGCCTTCTCTGGGGACTTGTTCTCTGCTACTCTCCCGTTCGTTGTTCTCTCTCGTGGTTCTGCTGGCGTCCCCGTGACGCCGCTCTGATAAGCCCAGTCTCTCAGCCCGGGTGCACCCACCTACCCATGCCCACACCCCACTCCAGGTGCCGCCATCAGGCATGCATGCAGGACTGCAGGATCCATCATCAATCTTAATGGCAGGAGGGCACAAAAGCCTGACACTGTTTACCTTACCCTACAACCCTGAACTCACGGAGGCAGGAACAGATGGGGGTTGCCAGAGGTGGGGGCATAGGTGGACAGGCCGTGAGATCCCTGGTGCTGGGGAGTCAGGCCCTGCGGTCGCTCTAGCTAACGATTCTGTGTTTTCCACCTAAAAGCTGCTAAGAAGAGGCCTCAGACATTCTCATCACAAGAAGGAAAAAGATGGAGCCAGATGAGGTGCTGATATTAACTAATCGTATCGTGGTAAGTGGTCCCTCACGATAGGCCCAGAGCAAATCACTGTGTTTTCAACGCATGCAATGTTTTTTGTCAGTTACATCTCGAAAAGCCTGGAAACATTAGTACGAAGAATCAACATTTTCATGTCCCAGGCATTTGTGACCATGGCCTTTAGGACCGGGGTCGCCCTGGACACAGCACTGTCCAGGCCTCACCCCCATCTCTCTGGGCGTCCTAGTAGTGTCCTTTGTAGTCAAAGGCCCAACCTGGGGCCACACGTCTGGTCTCCTGGCACCTTTTCAGCTGGCGTAGCGCCTCTGTATTTCCTTGGTTCTTGCGACCTGAATGTTTCTGAAGCTGACTGGAGAGGGGCTGTATGCACGTCCCCAATCTGGTGCTTTCCCATGGAGAGAAGGCCCCGAGTTTCCTAGAAGCGTCACAGGAGGACGCTGGGTTCCCCTTCTGAGGGGACAGGCAGTGCGTTTCCCCTTGCAGGTGATGTCTTCTTGCATCCTCTGGCCAGGGAGGCATCTGCCAGGCTCCTTCATGGTTCAAGTCTTCTTTGCCCCTTTATGGTCAGTGAGGAGGCTGCGGCACCTCGGTGAGTGTGTGACTGTCCCGATTCTCACGAGCCTTGCCCACTGGGTCTGGCACCTGCGGCAGGGTCCTGGCTGAGTTGTGTTACTAGGACGGTGACCAGCAGGGGCCACTTCATGTATTTGCTTCATGAATGAATGTGCATCTCACAGCTCAAGAGGCATCGGTAGATGACATGTCCTCGCGCCATGGACTAATAGGGGAGACGCGCACCTCTTGTCAGGAAGGCCCCACACAGTGGACGGGTGGGGGACACACCCTCTCTATAAACTCACCTGGATGCTACTCCCCCAACCCTGCCAGCAAGCCGACACCTGTCAAGGACTCCTATAAGACATTCAGCAAGAAAACCCGATGGCAGGAACAAGGTGAGTGGTGTGAGAGGACGTCAATGAAGAGCTTTAAACAATGATACTTCTGATTTATGTTAAGTAGAAACAAAGTTAGATAAAAACAAAAGCTCTGAATTATGGCCCCTTCCTCTCACTTCCCTAAAATAAATTTGATTTCTCTGAGCCCGCTCTCAACTGCCTGCCCCTGAGGTATTGATCTCAGAATGAAATTCATACTAAAGTGTGAATGACTAACTGAGAAGCAAACACTCTTGTTTCTGTATTGAAAAGCTTGGAATGGTGCAAGATTTTTCATCCAAGGACACTCGTGAAAAGACTCAGTGAGAATATTCTGCTTGCTCCACCGTTCAGAAGCTACTGGCCTGTGTATTTATGAGCATGTGAGGAGGCCCCCTGGGGCCATGGACACAGAGGGGTCCACTGCACCCTTCTGCCCTGGCAGGCCTTGCCAACTCCCTCCCTGGATGCCCGGTACCTTTGGTTTCCTTGAGCAGCTCTTCCATGAACTTGACCACCTGGGCCACCCCCACCCATGGGAAGCCTTTGCCCACAGCAAAGATGATGCTTTCATACAAGGTGTCCAGCAGGATGCTTCTGCGGGCATCCCTCAGCTCATCAAACTCCTCCCAGTTCAGCAGTTTCCGCAGGTGCTCCCGTCCTTCTGGTTTCTGCAGGACACAGAAATCAGGATGCCCTCTTCACTCACAGAACAGTCCTGGGATCCCCTAGTGGTGCCCCACAGTCCTGAGGCCTGGCTAGGTATGTGGGTATGCCTTTGTGTTTAGACAGCCTTGCCTCCCCTTTCTAGGGAAGAGCACTTTTCTCCAGCACTGCCTGGCTCAGTACCCCAGCTTCATACAGCTCAGCGGGTCCCAAGTGCTCCTTCTGCTTCCCTAAAATAAAGTTTGACTTCTCTCTGGCCCACTCCCAACAGGCTGCCCCAGATGGACAGTGAAACTTAGACTAAAGTGTGAATGACTGACCAGAAGAGGTTTGGGGAGGCAATGCTTTAGCAGAAGAAATGTATCTTGCTTTGTGAAGATTCAGGCCCTCTGGCAGGCCAGGGGGCAAAGACTGGGGTGGGTCCCCTTTTATCCTGTGTGTTCGTCAGAACTCATTCACTTGAGAACATGACTGGCCCTTCTCGGAAGAGTCTTAGGGATCATCGACAGATGTAGGAGAAGCAAGACCCCGTAGAGGAGTGGTAAGAATATTTGTGGCATGGAGCGGAGACCCGCCAGTGGAGACGTGTTGCTCCCTCAGGGTGACGGGAGGTTCTGGCCGGAGGAGCTGTGTGTGTGGGCGTGTCCAGTGGCAGACTTGGTGCAGGGAGCCCCCTGTCCTCAGCCCCTGTCCCTCCACCGCTCTCTGTCTGGTCCAGGCAACCCTCTCTAGGAGCCTCCGCAGATGCCCGCATCAGCGTCTGCTGGGTCAGCAGCTAGAAGATCTAGGCGGAGGGGGAAGCTTGTGCCAGGGGAGGGAGGGAGGCCGCCGGGGCAGCCTTGCTGGCGCCGGCCCATCAGATTGTAAATGCAGGTCAGAAGCCGACCTGGGCACGCAGTGGGCCTGGGGTCCTCCTGCCTGAGTCCGGCCCTTTCCTGACACCCTGTTCTGGAAGAGGCTTGCAGGAGGCCCTCCAGCTCACACCTTTCAGTCTTGGAGCTGGATCTGAGAAAGCAGCGTCTTTGACCCCGTCCCCCTCCCAAAGCAACAGAACCCCCTGCTCCACACACACCCCCCACACTCCCCAGGCACAGCGCGAGTCCCAGGCTCGGCAGCCCTGCGGCTCAGTGAGGGCGTTACCCGCCATAGCCGGCCCAGGGCCTCTGGCCTCCGCACTTTGGAGCTGGCCCTGGGGGCAGTGGGGTGCGCAGGCCAGGGGTTCCCACAGGGCTCCAGAGGCTGGGGGACCGTCCTTGTGGCATTCCTGTGTGCCCCCTGCTGTGGGCCTCAAGGGGGACACAGGGCCACCCGGGGAGTTACCCTCCAGGACTCCCCTTAACCCCTCATCTTAGGGCCACTGAAGAAATGCCCTAAACAACAAGTAGGTTTTCTCTTCACCTGGAATCGGAAGACCCTTTTCACTCCCTGGGGGGTTAAGAGCGCCATGGCCCCGCGTCCAGCTGCTAGGAGGCCTAGCAGGACTGACCAGGCCCCTCCTGAGGCCGGGGGAGAGGGCACGGCTTTGTGAGGTCATGAGGACCCTCCTGGCAGCCCAGCCCGGGCGCCGTCCCTCGGGCCTCTCTCCAGCCCGGCTGGCTCCAGACCCCCCTCGTGTCCAGGGGCCGCGTCCCTTTCCTGCCGCCCTCTCCCTCCTGGCTCCTTCAGGGCGTGTCCCCTCACATGTCCCAACCCCCACGTCCTCTGGCCGCGTCCTGTGTCTCTCCTCCCATCCACGCACAGCCCGGGACGTGTCCCTGCGAGGTCACCGGCCTCCGTCGTGTCCTCTCCACGCCGCTCCCCCCAGGACCTGGCGTCCCCGCCCTCACTGCCGGTGGTGTCTGTGACTCCCTCTTTCCCACATCCTGACTTTGCTCTGGGGGTGCAGAAACTGGCTCTGTGGGGATGTTCCCAAGCCCAGCACCCAAGGGTCCACCAGGCGGATTCTTAGGGACCCACCTGACTCCCTCTCTCCTCTCTTGGTAGCTTTGCACCTCTCTGTCCGCAAAACCCTAGTGCCCTCTGGTCTCCTGAGAGCAAGCTCTGTCCGCCAGCCCCGGCCGCGTGCCCAGGGCCCTCAGGGAGGGAAGCCCAGCACCGGCTGGTTGGTGGCTAGGGGCACCCCTTGGCTCTTGGGGCTCGGGCCTGGCTGCAAGTAAACAGGACACGCAGCCGCTGGCTGTGCTGACCACAGCTCCGGGGTTCGCCCATCCTGCACCAAGGCGCGCTGGCTAGCTGGCCTCTCCCGCCCTCAGCCCCCGTTCACACTCTGAGCCCATGAGGTTGACTGTCCTCGAGATGGCATATGGGTGGAATCACACAGTTTGTCGTGCTGTGACTGGTTTGTTTCACTTAGCACAGTGTCCTCAAGGTTCATCCATGTTGCGCAGGTGCCAGAATGTCCTTCCTTTTTTTTTTTTTTTAAAGATTTATTTACTTATGCCTACAAGAGCTGGGGCACAGGCCAGAGGTGCAGGGGGTAAGAGGATTCACCAGAGACAGGGCGGGGAGCAGAATAAGGGGACTGACTGAAACACACTGCTGAGGGGAGCAGCGGGAGAGCCAGGAGAGGTCTGCTGCGCCATGTGGGTTGCTCCTTGGCTGGCGGGGGATCGAACTTGTGCTGCAGTGGCTGCCGACAGCTTCGCAGTGTGGTGCTTAACCTCTACGCCACCAGGGAGGCCTGAATGTCCTTCCTTTTGAAGGCTGAATAATATTCCATTGTGTGGCAGGACCACATTTGTTTATCCCCCACTCACCTGTGGATGGACACTTGGGTGGTTTCCACCTTTTGGCTTTTGAGAATAATCAAACATGGGTGTGCAAATGAGAGCACTGCAATTTGTAGGATCGCAGCTCCGCACTGGCCCTCACCTCTGGCCCAGCACCTTGTAACTGGTGACTTCAAAACGTGGCCACAGCGGGTGAGGCAAAAGCAGGAATCTTCTTCCAGCTGGAATGTACTGTTGGACGCCAGCAGCCCATAGCCAGACTTTGGGGCTCAGGAATTGCACAGTGACAAACAGTGATGGGGTCTTGGGTCCCACGTGGTTACTGCCACATGGAATCAGCTGGAAGCAAATAGAAGCCAAGTCAACTCAGTCTGGAGTGGACTGTATTCCACCGAAAGCTCAGCCTACAACATCCCGTAGACGTCTCTTCAATCCCTGAAGCTGTGCTAATCCTCGAAACCCAAAGGAAAGCGGTGAACCTCTTCTGGGGTCACCCTCTCAGACACAGGTCTAAATTGGGGGGAGAATGGATGAAGAAGAGCCTTCCAGGGGAGAGAGCCCCTGGCCGGGCTGGTTGGCCATGAATACAGCCCATGGCCAGGACCAAGAGCCTGCGCTTGTTCTGCTAGATGTCCCATGACTGCTGCGGGCGGTGACTGCGGGTGTCCTGTTCCTCCCTGTGCCTGACGGGAGGTTTTATGGAAATTATCTTCCTCTCGGCCACTGCATGTGGAATGTGCTGGGACTGACTCTTTGAGTTTTCCTTTTTAGAGTTTTGGGCCACAAAACTCATATCCAGACATGACCGCGAGACCCACCCTTATGCCCGTGGACATGAACGTGGAGAAGGGCGTGTGTGACCGGGGGACAGCCACAGAGGGCAGATCTGGGCAGATACTGGTTGTGGTCTGAGTGACATTTGTTGTCCCCTTGTCTCCCCCACAGAACCCCCATTTTCCCAGGGGTAACAACGTTTCCTCCTCCCGTGCAGACTGGAGCAGCCCCATGACAGAGTGTCTGGGTGGGTCTTCTGGACTGGAAAGTCTGTTTGCCCGCTACCCTTTCTTTCAGCTGGGAACGCGGCGGTGACTGCCGGAGCACCAGCAGTCACGCTGCAGCGTGTGAGTGAGACCCCACCCCGAGGTCCCTGGATGACCAAGGCCTGTGGCACCAGCCCCTGACTGCTGAGCCCAGGACATCTTGTGTGTGGAAGACCAAGCACCCACATCTTGTTTAAGCCGCTCTTCCTGGGGCTCAGGTTTACATGTTGCTCCACACCCCCCTCGGGTCTGCAGAGACTGCTTTCTGAGGCTCACGTTGGGTCACACCAGGTCACGAGCTGGCCCAGGCGACCAGGGGCTCTTTACAGAAGTAAAGTGATTTGCCAGGGCCAGGAAGTGGGGCCGTCCAGGTTTCAGGATGTCTCCCCTGTCACCAATGTCAGCTGCACGTCCCACTTCCTGTCCAGGCCCTGAGAAAGGGACAGTAAGTCGTCTGGGGAGAGTTTTCCCGGGCTGGGGAGGGTGGGAAGCTGCTCGTTAACATAAAGACGCCAGGCAAGGACAAACATCCTGATAAAGCGAGTCCACCCCACCGGCGACGCTTGTCCAGAGGCCCGCTGAAGCTTCGTGACAGGAGGGGACCCCTGGAGGAGGAGGGGCAGGTGCACAGTGGAGAAAGGTCACGTTGAGGGCCGGTGAGCCTCAGCACGTTGCCCAGCATCACTCAGCCACGCAGAAGCACCTGGAGCCGGCGCGGTGGCCACTCTGCTCGAGCATGGGGCGCAGAGAGGCGGTGCCCGGCCGCCCCGCCCTCCTGTGGCTCGGCCCTCTCCTGTCCTCCTCTATCTGCCTCCGTCTGGAGTTTCTACACCTCGGGACCTCCTTCTAGGGTTTTCGCCCCTTTTCTGGCTCTGTCCAGAGGCTCTGTCCAGAGGCTCTCCGCCCCGGTGCCAGGTGGGGGCTCACTTTTCTGGCCACAGCCCACCGCCAGCCCCGCCTGCCTGCCCCACTCTCCACCCCTCGCCGCTGCCCCCACCCCAGCTGACGTTCACTTATCACTGTCACCCCGCAGAGCGTCGGGTCCTTCAGAGCAGGGTCTCCGCTTTGCGCCCTGCGGGGCCCGGCCCGGGGCAGACTTGCCCTCGCTGTTGGTTGAAGCGGTGAAGGCAGGCCTCGCCCCACGCGCCCCAGCAGAGGGAACTACTTTGCCAAGGGCGAGCTCGAAACGAAGTGGCTGCACTCAGAGTGTGAGGACAAGAGGGCCCCGGTCCCAACATGCTCCCGGAGAGGATGGCTCAGCAGGAGGCGGGGGGTGCCACTGGGGAGGAAGGTCAGGGCGGAGAGAGAGGATGGGGTCTGACAGACAGCCGTGGGGGGCACTGGGGACCCCTTCCTCCCCACGCCAGTGGGTGGGCGATGAGGCGGGCATGGTAAGGCCAGCGTGGGCAGTTAGAGAAGGGCCGTGGCGCAGAGCGGCCCTGACTGCCGGGTGGGAGAGCCACGTGGACGGGGCTTGAGAGTGGGGGGGTCCTCTGCAGAATTTCCAGCAGTGTGATGGGGCCCCCAGGCTTGGGAAGAGGGCGCTGGACGCCTGAGCGGGAGTGGGGCGCGGGAGATGCTGAAGGGCGGCCGAAGAAGCGGGCATGGCTCGGAGGCGCGGCCCCCAAGGGGGGTTTCCATTGGCCACGAAGGACGTGGGCGTGGCCCCAGGCCTCCGCGCTGGACCAGGGCAGTGATGCAGGGGTCAGAGCGGAGAAGTGGGGGACCTGGCGGGGTGGGCGGGGCTGGGGGCTCCAGGGAGGAGGCCGGAGAAGAAGGGAAGGAGGCAGGGTCTGAGGGCAAAGGCCGCCGGGACAGGCCTCAGCTGGGAAGCGCGAGGACTGTCCGCTGAAATAATCTCCGCTATGAAGCCCCCTCGGGCCGCGCTGTGCATGGGGCCAAGGTGGACAGCGTCCCCGGCGCCCCGGGAGAGGAGGTGGGGCGGGGGGGCGGGGCAGGGAAGGGACAGTGGAGCAGGGATAATTTTAACCCTCTGGACACGAGCCAGCCGTTATCAGAGGCCCGTGCACAGGAGGGGGCGAGTGTCCAGAACAGCTCTGGCGAGGACGGGCGGCCAGGGGCGGTGGAGACTTGAGCTGTCCTGGGGCTGATGTTGCAGACATGAATTTGAAGGAACTTCGGTCCTCGGGGGCGAGTGAATTCCTCCAGCAACTTCCAAGCCGTGCAGGTGGGAGAGGGAGGAAGGAGCTGGCTCGAGAGCGTGTCTGGGGCAGTGCCACGGGCATAGGCCTTGCACGTGTCCCCTGGGACATCCCCTGCCTCGCTGCTGGGATTCACGCGGGGTCACCTCCTGGAGCTTCTGTTTCTGAGAGGAGTGGGGAGCCCAGCCAGCCTGTGATGTCAGCCCCACTTACTGCTTCCTGTTTTTCTTCTGGTTTTTGGCAGTAGAACTGTCTATATGGTCCAGGATGTCTCTCCTGGGTCCCTACCCCGAGAATACAAAAACACCGATTGGAAGGGACAGCTGCCCACCTCCGCTGGCCGCTCACCGCGCGGGTTACAAGGGTCTAGATGTGGGCACAGCCCGAGTGGACAAAGGGGGGTGATAAAGAAGACGGGGTCTGCATGCACGGCGGAACACTACTCAGCTGTTAAGAAAAGCAGGTGAGATGCTGCCGTGTGCGGCAGGTGGATGGAGCAGGAGGGCGCGGCCCAGCGCTGTCAGCGGGAGAAAGACGGACACCGCGTGAGCCCCGCGCATCTGTGGAATAGACAGA